CACAAAAATAACTCCCATTCCAAGCACGATTTACTGTGTGCCCGGCTGGCCCTCCCAGCACAGAGCCCTGTTCAAACACTCAGCTTCACCCCTGAATGTGGCTGGGGGAAGGGGCACAGGAGCACGGCTGCATTTGAATACCACTTTTTCCGGGCGGTGTCCGTTTCCTGGAGACTTACCCAGGGAGCTGCCCAATAAGGGCCGATGTCAAAGCACCCCCAGAGAGGAGAAAACCTTTGTAGAAGGGAGTGTCAGCCCCTCTACAAGAACACCTAGATCCCTTGGAGGAACAGGTCCAGCTCAAGCAACACTTGTCTGGCCACAGCAAATCCCAGGGTCCTTACCATTCATGGAGCACTGCTGTGGACATGATCAGCCACAAGCCTCCTGACAGTTGTAAGAAGAAGGCATGATCACTGTTATTGTCCCACTTCGCAGATGGGAAAACAGAGGCTCAGAGATGTTATGTGATGAACGTCTCTCCTGGCTCTAAATCCTTCTCACTGTAGACATCATGTTTCCCTAAATCTGCTAATTATCAAAGTAGCAAAATGTCCAGGCTGGGGTTCTTCCCACCAGGAAGAATGACTGGCATAAGGATGTAGATGGAACCTCGGGTATTTCCAAAGCTAAGGCAGCATTGAAAATCGTCCTTCACCATGACTGACCCTGGTGCTCCTCATCGCAAGATCTGAGTTGGAGGGCAAAGCACTCTCTTGGCAAGAAGAGTGTATCATACTAAGCAATGTCCTGCCAGTAAGACCTGTTGGCTCTACCACCAAAACAATCTCCCACTGGCCCCCCCTAATCCAAGTCATCACCTCCTCTCTCCTCAATTCTGAATCAGTCTCCTAACTGGCCTCTCTGGTTCCATTCTTGTTCCCCTTCAAGCTAATTCATTCGAGCCAAAGTGATCTCTCTTTTGTACATATTTTTTTCACTTATAAAAGTAATTCATGACCTTGAGGAAGATTGAAAAAACCAATAGGAGATAAAGAAGGAAATAAAAATCATCCATATGCAGTATCCAGAGTTAACCTCTGTGAATACTGGATGCATCTCCTGGTCTTCCTTCCGTGCGCATGTGCATGGTGGGCACGTGTACACGTGTGATTAGCTTTGCAAGATTGGTTCTATACTATATAGTTGTACGTCCTGCTTTTTCATTTATTATATACATTTTCTAGCTTATAAACCATTCTTCGTTAACCACGGTTTTTAGTTTTTTGGCACCCTATACTCTCACATGGTACTAAATTCAGAAAGGACAAAAGGATCTACAGCAAAAACACAATCTTTCCTCCATCCCATTTCCCTCCCCCTGGGGCAACTGATTATTGTTCTTGTGTACCAAATAATCTTTTCAAATCATGAATTTGATCATGTCACTCCCCTGCTTAAAACTCAGATGAAGCCATCACCTGGGCAATAAAATGCAGGCTCCTAACCAGTCCTGCCCAGTCGGGGAGCGAAGGCTCTGGCTGCCCGGACTGCTCCAGCTCTCCCCTCCAGCCACATAGCTGTTGCCTCTGCTCTGGCCTCAGGGGGTTCCATTTGCTCTTCCCTCTGCCTGGAATCCCCTTTCCCCAGGTCTTTGTGCAGCTGGCTCCTTGTCATCCTTCAGGCCTGGGCCAAGCTGTCGTTTCCCCAGGGCAGCCTCGCTGGTCTCCCAATCCAGGGCGCCCGGGCTGCCCCCACATATGTGTGCTGTCCATCACATCACCTGTGGCATTTCTTTCCCATCACGTATCACGATCTGATATTGTCTTTGTTACTGAAAGTTATTTACTGTCTGTCTCTGCCACACTAGAAAGAAGCCTCTCTGAAGGTAGGTATGCTACCTTTCTCGTTCTCTCCTGTTGTCCTACTGCCTAGTACAGGGCCTGGCACATGATAGGCATTTGACAAATTTCTGTTAAAGGAAAGAATGAGTTGACTGCAGTGCTGGTTCTCATCACTGAAAACTGACACTTGCAGGATCTCCAAGCACCAAAAAGCAACCTGCTGGCCATCCTCCCCCATGCCTGGGGTGGAGGTTAGAGGGTCAGAGAAAGGAAGACAGGAGCCTGTTGTCCAAGGCAGTGTGGCTGGGCAGCAGCAGCCTGTTCATCTTCCCTGTCGCTCAGCTCACCCCTTACTCGTGCTATGCATTTGCAGAATCCAGAATCAGACAAGGAACTCGTGACAAGCCCAAATTCCTAGAAAATCCTCCAACATTAAGTGGAATGCTGGAAGTGACACTTTTGCCCCTCACTTACCCCAAATCCCACATCCAGTCTGCCCAGACCGCTGTGCTGTTCCAGGTTCCCAAGTAAGCCCCAGCCACAAGAGACAGAAACACCACCCAGGGAGCAGAGCCCCCCCAGGAACAGTTCCAGCCCATCCCACCTGACTCTTCCCCTGGGCCCCAGACACCTGGGCTCCTCTCTCTGGAAATTCACCCAGCCCCAGAGACACAAATGCACATCCAATCCGGAGCCAGCAGCCCAGCCTCAGGATGCTCCGGGGACACCCTTTTGGAGACACTTCCTTCCTAGGACCTGATTTCCACTGAGAGAACACTGCGCTTAAGTCAAGATTGATTTTTAAGAATGAGGAAAAGAGGGAATGAAGTGCTTTCACAAAAATTGTGCAAGATGGGAGGGAGAAAGGAAGGAAGGAAAACAGAAAAGGAAAAAAGACTCGTGAAGATAGAACCAGACAAGCAGTGGGAAGGATAAGTTTGAGCTGAGGAGCCAGAATCAGGAAAGGGTGGGAAAGAGTGTGAGTTCTCTTCCTCCCCAGAAACGGACGATTATTATAATTGATTGGGTGAGCACAATCCCAGAGGGCTCTTCTGGGCTCTGTACAAGGTCAGTTAAATAATAATGGCAATAACAGCTAATGTTTATCCCGCACTTACTATGTGCCAGGCACTGTCTGAGCTTTATTAAGCCTTTTAATCCTCGAGACGACCTGATGAGGTGAATACTTTCATATTAATCCCATTTTGCAGATGAGGAAACTGAGGCACAGAGTTTAGGTTAAACTGCTCAAAGTCGCACTGCCAGTGGCAGCAGTTGGAACCTAACTCCGGGCTCTTGGCCTCTAGGCTATACTTGGCTCTCGGTGATCCAAGTAGGTGGGTCCCTACCCTCCTGGAGTTCATTTCTTCCCAACCAGTACCCTCAAACGATCATGACATGCGAGTTTCAGAGACAGGTGCATAACTCTGCCCATTTCACAGAGGGGAAAGTCCTGAAAAGTTAAGGAACTACCCCAAAGTCACGCTGCCCATCGTTGGGGAATTAGAATCCAAATGTGTTGAATCCCAGCACCTTTCCAGGCACTTCCTAAGGGAGCTCAGTGGAAACAGAGGTCAGGCTCGGAGGCCCTAACTCGGAATCTAGCGAGGCGTGGATGGCTGAGCGGGAGAGCGGGGAGGCGGAGAGCGGGGCGAGCGGGCGGGCGCCGCGTCCGGCGAGGCCGGGCGCAGGGCAGCGGAAGGCAGCAAGCCCGCCGCAAGCCGAGGGCGGAGGGCGGAGAGCCGCGTGGGTCCAAGGAGGGCGCCGCCCCGCCGGAACGGCGCTCGCCGCCTGGCACAGCTAAACGGGCAGAGTTATGCACCCATGTTTGAAACTGGTCTGTAGCGGTCGTTTGAGGGGTACTGGTCTGGAAGGCATGAACTCCAGGAGGCTGGGAACCCAGCTACTTGGACCACTGAGAGCCAAGAATAGTAGCGGTTGAGAGCCAGGAGCATCCGTCTCTGGCTTTCGCCAGACCCCTGCACCAGCGCCAGCGCCGAGGCGCCCTGCCCGGAAATTCCCAGAGAGTCAAAGCAAACTTCCCAGGAAAACTCCTCGGCTTCCTCCAAGCCCCTGTCACCGAGGCGGCTGCCAAGAGCGCCAGCGGAGTCCTTGCAGCTGCCGTGGGCCCTCCAGGGCGGGGGCAGCCACTCGAGCGCTCGGGGTCCTCCTGGAAAGGTCCAGGGCTGAAGTTCAAAATTCACTTCCCGCCCAGGCCCGGCTTGCGGCCCCGCCCGGGACTCTCCGGCAACCCCACGTCTCTCGCCCTCCAGAGCGCCAGTTAAGTAATGGGGCGCCGCAGCCTGAGGACCCGTGCGGCCCGCTGGGCCAGTCCCACGGGCGATCCCTGCGCGCCGGGGGACTCCAAGCAGCGCGAGCCAGCGCGCACACATACCCTGCGTGTGTGCGTGTGTGTGTGTGTGTGTGTGTGTGTGTGTGTGTGCGTGTGTGTGTTTACGTACGGAGCGCGCGGGGTGGGAAAACAATGGCGAGCCGCTGGAAACTGAGTGACTACCCCCTCCGCATCTCCCTGCCCCTAGGCTCGATCTGCTTTTGCTGTGAAATAGGGATGAAAAGGCTCACCTCCACCACCCAGGGCGGGAGGTGGGGGGTGGTAAGAGGCAGGCTGGGTGGGGGTGGGGGTGGAACCCGAGCAGCCCGAGCAGAGAACAAACAGGATGCGGCGCCCGGCTGGTCTGCTGGGGAACGATCCTGGAGCGGGGGCAAGGGGTGCGCGACTGGCCCCCGAAACCCCTTACAACCAGGGCGGGGGAGCTCTGCGTCTCCTCGCAGACACCCGAGCCCCTCGAGGGACGCGCACTGGTCGCCTCGGCTTCCCGCTGGGAAATCCTTAAACTGGGCGCATAGTTAGGCTCGTGGGAAAGACCTAGTGCCCCAGCCGGCCGGCGAGGAGCGGGCTGGGGGCGGGGGCACCCCAAGCTCGGCTAGCGTGGTGCGCGCACACACGCACACCGCCACCCCCAGCCTTACAGGCTGCCACCCCTCTCCACAAGGACCCGGTCAGCCCAGGAGGAGCCGCCACTGGCCGGCGGTGTCGCGGGTAGGTGAGGGTCCGTTCCTCCTCGAAAAACTTTGCAAAGGATGGCAACTCGGAGGGAAGAGCGCCGGCGTGTGCCCAGAAACGTGGCGGCGCGAGTGTCAAACTTCGGAGGGGTGGGGAGATGGGCGCGCTCGGGGCGCGGAGGGCGCACTTACTACTCAGCCGGGCGCTGGGCTCGCGGCTCGCGGTTCCGCGCTCCGGCTCCTCCTCCGTGCGGTCCTCGCGGCTGGCTGCCCGGGCTTCACGCTCACATGCCCCGGCGACGCAGCGGGCGGGCGGGCCGGGCCGGGGCGGCTGGGCTGGGAGGAGGCACGCCCCCCGCTGTCGGCCGCGGAGTCGCTCCGGCCCCACGGCCACCCAGGATCCGCGCCCCACCAGGGGCCGCCGTCCCGGGCGGCGAGCTCGGATCCGGCCGGGCGGCGCCGTCCGCCGAGCCAGGCCGCTCTCTGCCCTCTGCCCTCTGCCCTCGGCTGGCGGCCGTCTCCCTGCCTTCCGCGGTCCTGCTCCTCGACTCGCCGGACGCGGCGCTGGCCCGCCCGCCTCGCTCTCCGCTCTCGCGCTCTCCGGCTCCGCGCTCCGCGCCTCGGCTCGGTTCCGAGTCAGGGCCTCCGACGCTGACCGCTGCACCCTGGGCGCCGACCCGGGCTCGCCGCTCCTGGGCCCGGGTTCCGGGACCCGCGCTCACACAGTTCAGTTCCAAGCCGGGACTGGAACAGGGCACTCGCTGCTTGCTGCTCGCTGCTGCGAGGCGACTGGACAGCCTCAGAGGAGAAAGAGGGAGGGAGACCGAGAGCGCGCAGGGGGAGGGGGAGGAGGAGGGAGGAGGGAGGAGGGTGGGGAGATGTGGAGGGAGGGAGGGACAGAGAGTTTCCTCCTCCTCCCTGCTGCCGAGTCCATCCAGGCATCAACAGCTGGAAACCTCTGTTGGGAAGGCTAGAGCTAAGGTTCCCGGGCGGCGGGCGTGGGTGGAGGTGGAGTGAGGGCATGGAGAGAATAGAAGAAAGAAGGTGGATTCTGCCCACTCCCACTGCTCAGGTGTGAGCGTCACCACAGAGCATCTTTACTCCTCTGAGCAAGACCTAAAAAGTTATCGGTCCAGCTCCAAGCCTGGGGTAACCCGTCCAGACAGATAGCCTGGATTGGGGGATTTTAGAAACCCCATTTCAGAACCTCCCTTAAGAACCTGATCCCACCAGCTTAGAGGGCTTCCTGACGTCTCCGACCATTCCCTAGTCCTGTCATTTGCAGTCTCTCAAAGAAGTCCTTCGTTTTCTCCCACCCTGTTCTAAGAGGGGAGGGAGCGTGGAGAGTTGGATTCCTTTCATTAAACATATTTATTAAATGTCTACAATACGCCTGGCCCAACTGGGTGCAGTGAAGGGGAAGAGTGCTAAGATAGGGCAAGCACATGGGGCATGGGGACCACCAAAGTCACTAGGATGTGGGGACTGAACCGGGTCTCAGAAGGACCTGGGAGTGGGAGTAGGGCAGGTTAAAGGAGCTGCGGTCATGGAACTGCAAATAACTGTGCCCGCGGTGTGGGTGGCCTGCGTGTCAGCAGGTGATGGTCAGCAAGGCTTTCTAAGGGCTTTGGATTTCTTCCTTCCCACTGCCTTGCCTGGCAACTCCTTTTATTCATCTTTTAGATCTCAGCCTAGATACCAACTCTCCCACGAGCCTTTCTTGATGGCCAAATCTGGGTCAGGCACCCTATCTGTGGGCTCTGGAAGTCCCCTGCTTGTAGATAGTACAGTAACTATTCGCTGGTCTCCCCCACTGGATTGTAAGCTCCACGAGGGCGGGGATGTGTCTCTCTCGTCCACTTAGACCCCGCATGCCTAGCCAGGGCTTGGCAAAGAGCAGGCTCTTAATAAATACTTGCTGATCAACTGGCTGACCGAAGGGAAGGGGGAGCCACTGAAGGATTCTAAGCAAGGCCTCGGTCTAACTGGAGGGAGGGAAGGAGGCCAGTGACCACACAATGGCAGTGGCCAGGGCGACAATGATGCAGACCTGAGCTAAGCTAGGAGCAGGGGATGGAAAGGAGGAAACAGGGTGAAAGTACAGCCAGCAGTGGGAAAAGTCAACTTGAACTCCCGAGGGCCTGGTTTTCGGATGACGGTGAATGAAGCCATCTCAGAAATGAAAGAGTTACCCAGGTGCCACCAAGCCTTTCCTCCTCCCAGACAACGTGCCTGTGTTTTCCATGTCTCTGGTTACTTTTCTCTGGCTCCTGATCAGCTCCAATGGGGCAACCTCATCGTGGGTCCCTCCTGTAGCTGTCCTTAGCGACAGCAGATTGAGAAAGCAAGGACAGAGAGGTTAGAGCTGGACCCTCCTCTCCCCGGCATTCCTCCCTCTACGATATCTCACTTCATTGTAGCAGCCCTTCCCAGTCACTGCCACCAGGTTAAGATACTGTCCGCCTGCTGTGTCTTAGGCATGGTTCTGGTTTCCTATATGACATCTGTTTGTACCTTATTCCAATTCTGTGAGGTTGGTGTCATCATCCCCATTTTAGAGGGGAGAAAAATGAAGCTCGATGTCACAGTAAATGGAGAGAGGAAATTATCTGACTTAAGATTCTAGATCTTTCTACACTACCACACCATTTCCCAGGAATACCTATCAAATTTATGCCATTTAACCCCGTCAACAACTCCCTCCTTGAAACACTCACATCATGACTCCACACTGTCCTGAATTTCCTCTGCCCTCGCTTTCTCTCTTTCCCGGCACCCCATTTTTCTCTCTCTCTCCTGTCTCTCCCTAGGTGAAATGTTATCCGTTCCCATAGCTTTAAGTACCAACTATGTGCTGATGATTTTCTCAATTTTTTTATTTAAATCTCTAAGACTGTTTACTGCACTTCAGACTCATGTATCCAACCGCACGCTTGATGTTTCTACTCACGGGCCTCACAGACATCCTGAACCTAACATGTTAAAAATCGAACCGTTAACCACCTGTGTCTACCTGGTCCCACCTTCTTTCCCGTTTCGGTAAGTGGTATCGCCACCTACCCAGTAGCTCAAGCCAAAATCCTAGCAGTCATCGGCGATCCCTCCTTTCCCATCGCGTCAATTTAGTGAATGTCAATGATCTATCTCCAAAAATATATCCCAGTTTATCCACTTCTGTCTCCACCATCCCCAGCCTAGGCCACCATCACGGCTGAGCTGGACTGCAGCAGCCTCGCTGCTTCTGAGAACTGAGTCCACCTGCAGACACATCATTGAACTGAGGCTGTGTACAGCCACATGACTTTAATGTTTGTTCCAGAAATTTCTTACCCGGCGAGATAAGACTGTAAACTAGTAAATAACTTCATTATTTGCTTCAGGAACTTCCTGAAAATCAATTTATCCAAACAATAGACTGCTCCAACAGCCCCCTTTTTGGGACAATAGTTTGCTTAACTGGGCAAACCACTGGCTTATCAAACAATTGTTTATTTTTCAAGACCCTCCCCATGCTGTATCCTCCAATCCTAAACTGTTATATCATAAATTTTGCCCAATCCCAATCGGATCCCCTTACTGAAAAAGATCTGCCTTAAACCAGACTTCAAACCCCATAAACGGCTTTTCACCGGGAAAGTGCATCCCTCCCATCTCAACAAAAACGTCCCTTCTTTGGTCTTTCCTCTCCCCCCACGTAAAATCCTCCACCGTATCCCACCTTTGTCCTCCTTCTCAGCCCCCTATTTGCTTCCTTCATAGCACAATTCATACTTATTTTATGTTTTCTGTTTTCCTGTACTTTTCCCACTCCTCTTTAGACTGTAGGCTCTGTGAGGGAGGGACCTTCTCTGCCCCATTTCATTTCCAGAGTATAGTAGATGCTCAACAAATACTCACTCGGCCTCAGGGAGCGCAGTCTCCAGTGTGTTTTGCGTGTGGCCGTCAGCCAGTTCCTGAGACACTGGGAGAGGTTGTGGTGCCCAGGTGTGCTGGGTTCCTGACATTCCCTTACCTCCAAGGTTAGTGTAAAATGCACATGCCCCTGGGAGAAGTAGGAAAAGGATTTAATTCACAGAGTGGCGGGAGGAGAGAAAGCTCTGCGAGAGGAAGCTAGCTGAGGAGTTGGAGAAGGAAGGAACTCACTGAACAACTGGTCTCACTGCTCTGCCTGGAGACTGTCCTGCTTGCTCCCACCCCGGCCCTCACCTAACTGAGGCTCATTTTCTCTGTGAAGCTTAGAGAGAGGACACTTGTAGGTTAGGTCAGGTCAGAGTAGGCCCAGCCTCGTGGGGCTTGTCTGGTACCAAATCTTTTTTTTTTTTGAGAGGGAGTCTCGCTCTGTTGCCCGGGCTAGAGTGCCATGGCATCAGCCTAGCTCACAGCAACCTCAAACTCCTGGGCTCAAGCTATCCTCCTGCTTCAGCCTCCAGAGTAGCTGGAACCACGCCCAGCTAACTTTTTCTATTTTTATTTGCCTGGCTAATTTCATTCTATTTTTACTAGAGATGGGGTCTCGCTCTTGCTGAGGCTGGTCTCAAACTCCTAACCTCAAATGATCCTCCCACCTTGGCCTCCCAGAGTGCTAGGATTACAGGCGTGAACCACTATACCTGGCTGGGTACCAACTCTTCATCCTACTGACTGAGCAAGTGCTTTTCCAGATCCCTATAGCCAGAGATGTGAGTCAGAGATGCTCAACCCAGGGGGCTCTCGCATCATGGGGTGTCCCACAGGGGCGACTTCTCAGAGGCAGGCACTGCCTTCAGGCTGACCCAAGGTGGGCTTCTACTCAGTTCTACTTGGGTTTTTCTAAGGAGTCACACTCGGGTATGGAGCTAATCCGTGAAGCTAACAGACTGAGTCATAGAATGTTTCATTTGCCCATCAGAGTCTGAGAGTAGAAAATCTGGAAAGAATCAGCCTTCCAGAACCATCTCCAGCTCCCTCTTTGTGCAGTAGAGGAGACTGAGGCACAGAGAGGAGGGGAAACTTGCCCAAGGCTGCACTTTACATACATGATCTCTTTAAGCTATCAACAACTCTGTGAAGATGGGGACATTCAATAGATGAAAAAGACACTCACAGAGGTGAAGGAAATCTTCCAAAACCACACAGTGAAGGGGCAAAGGCTGACATTTGAACCCAGGTTTTCTGGCTCTCAGATGCATGCTTTGTCTGCCGTACCAAGCTGCTCTGCTTCTTGTGGGGTTTTATGGTCCTTGGAACGTGAAACATATAAACCAGTGCCTGAGTATTATTCAACACCCCAGATTCTAGCCTAGACCCTAGAAGTAGAAACAGCTCTCTGCTTTCTATGTGACAGTCGCCTCTGTTCTCCAAGTGAAGGACTTTCTCCCAAGGACAGAAGACCCAATGCATGCCACCCCCCACCACACACACACACAGGGACCCCACTCAGTGCATGGGCTCAGCTAATGCTGGTGACTTGAGTCCTTTTTACACACAAACACACACACACACACACACACACACACACACACACACACACTTCCAGAACATCTCCAGTCCGTCCTTCACTTGTTTAGCTACGTGGGGCAGTGAGCATGGGGAGAGGGCTGGAGCAGTCATTCTCGCCTCCCGGCCTACTGCACATGCTCTCTCTGTAAATTGAATTATCTGGAGTCCTAAGTTGCTAAGGGTCCTGATCAGGCTGCATGTCTTCCTGATCCATCTGGAGTGGGCGCAGCTCAAAGACAAGGCCACCGCCCTCTGGGAGGGCAGCCGCACACGTGCGCACATGTGCTCGAATACACACAGTGGTGTTTTTTTCCCTTTTCTCTTTTCATT